AAAAAAAAAAAAAAAAAAGAACGAAAGAAAGAAATAAAAAAAAGAGGTCAGGCTCGGTGACTCATGCTTGTAATCCCAGCACTTTGGGAGCCCAAGGCGGGTGGATCACGAGGTCAGGGTTCGAGACCATCCTGGCCAATATGGGGAAACCCCGTCTCTACAAAAAACATAAACATCAGCCGGGCGTGGTGGCGCGCTCCTGAAATCGCAGCTACTCGGGAGGCTGAGGCAGGAGGAACGCTTGAACCCGGGAGGCGGAGGTTAGAGTGAGCCGAGATTGAGCCACTGCACTCCAGCCTGGGCGACGGAGCGAGGCTGTGTCTCAAAAAAAAAAAAGAAAGAAAAAGAAAAGGAAAAGAAAAAAGAAAAGAAATCCTAAAACTCAAACTCCAATTCCACCAGAGAACCCTGCCTTCTTCTCATCCCTCTGATCTACCCCCTGTCCCCACCCAGCCTGGGGCGCATGGGCGCGTCTCCCCCTCCCTGGGCCCCTCTGTCCACCCGCTTCAGCCTTCAGCGTCCTGGGTCACAAGCGGTGATGTCCACGGCAGCCAGCATACCTGCTCCCGCAGGGCCGGAACCCCTGACCCCTGTAGCGCTGCGCCCACCCCACCCGTGCCCTCCCTCGTGAGCAGCCCGGACCCCGCCACACTGCAGGACGGCTCACCCTCCGACTGCCCCTCCCCATGGTCCCACCCTGCGCGCCCAACCCACCGGCTACACCCGGCCGCGCCCCCGCCCCAGTCCTTGTGACTCGGCGCCTGGAAAGACCACACCAACCCCGGGAGGGGGGCGCTGCTTCCCGACACCGGCCCTGGGCGCAGAGACCGAGCCTGCAGAGCGTGGTAGCCAGGCTCCCAGCCCCGCGCCCCTCCCTGCGCCCCGCCCCGCGCGCCCCTTCTTGCGGGGCCACCGCGACCCCGCAGGGGACGCCCAAGCCAAGGTCCCCCCTCCCCGCGCCTTGGTTCCGCCCGCGTGTCACGTGACCGCAGCGCCTACTTGAGCAGCGGAGCCGCCGCGTCCCGTCGCCGAGTCCCCTCGCCAGGTGCCCTCCGTCGCCGCCAAGATGATGTGCGGGGCGCCCTCCGCCGTGCAGCCGGCCACCGCCGAGACCCAGGACATCGCCGACCAGGTGGGTGGGCCCCGGGGACGGGGCCGGCCCGGGGTCCCGCCTGAGCCTCAGGGCGAGGCCGCGGCTCCTGGAGCGGGAGAAGCCACTTCGGCCCCGCTGCGCACCTGGGCGGGCGGGTTCGGTCCTGGACCCCCGGGCTGGCCGGGGCTGTGGCCGTGAGAGGCCGCCCTCCGCTCGGGCGCTGCGCGTGAGTGTGCAGGGGAGGGGGCCGCGCCTGGGACGCCGCTGGGGAGACACTGGGCTCCGCTGAATACAGCAAGGGCGAGTGGGAACTGATAGCCCCGGAGCAGGGTGCGGTCCCTGGATGGAAGATCCCTGAGGGGAAACCCCAGGCACGAGGCGCTTCAGGTGATCGGGCGTCGCCGGCGATGGCGCAGGTGAGCAGCCGGCTCCAAACTTCACGGTGACCCGATAGCAAGCAGCAATGATCGTTTTTGTCCGGCCGGTGCCTGCCCAGGCTGCTTGTGGGAGCCGCACCTGGAAAAGTGGTTCCTTTCCCCCACAGCCACTCATAGAAGCCTACCCAGCTCCTCCTTACCCGTTTCCTGGCTTTCCAGGCCTAAGACATCCCTCATTGTCACCCACTCTGAACTTCGAATGAGTTCTTGTTGCAGCCAGGAGAAAAGAGTCCCTGTCTCAAAAGTGACCGGAGTGGGCCCAGCCGTGGCTACTGGGAGGGGCGTTAAGGCAGGCGTATGAACCAGGCAGCCCATTTGCTGGGTGGTCTCTAAGGAAGGGCGGGAGGGAGGGGCAGGGGCGCTTCCTGGACACCCCCTAGTCGGGCCCTGTCTTACCGACTCCTTATGGGAGCGCTCGGGCTGAGTGTTCCTATCATACTTTGCAGACAAGGAGGGTGGAGACCAGAGCCTGACTTGAGCCCTAAGGCCAGCAGAGTTCCTCATTCTGTGCCACTGCATGGGGGACCCTCCCCCAGAGCCACCCCTGCGCCTTCGCAGCCCGTCTGCCCCACTGTCGACACCCCCGACACAGGTGACTGGTCGGTCACTTGCGGCTTTCTAACTGATCCTGCCTTTCAGGGCTCCCCCAGTGAGAGGCCGGCCCATGCTGCTCCCTGTCAGCGGCGTCAGTGCCCACGTCAGTGCCCATGCTGCACAGGCGGCCTGGCCTGGAACCAACACCTCCACGGTGCACAGCCTCCTCCACAGCCTCCCGGGGGTTCCCTGCCATGCCCTGCAGACTTTCCTACTCCTGCTCCCGAAACAGCAAAGAGAGGGGCCAGTGCTCATCCTCCCATGCCCTGCGGCGGGTCTGTGGGCGAGACCCAACCTGAGCCCTCAGTGACTGGGGGTGAGGGCTGCCACACTGGTGCGTCCCCGCAGGCCCACTGGACATTGCTGGGAGAGGGGCACACAGGTTGGTCTCCAGACACAGGCAGCCACTGTGCCCATGCAGCGAGAAGCATGGCGGCCTTCAGCAGAGAACATGGGGGGCAGGAGGGCACCTTCCCCTCCCCACTGCCCCAGCCTTTCCTGCCAGGGCCCCAGGCCTCTCTTCTCCAGCCTGTCCCAGCAAAGGTCCTCTGCGGCGCTGGGAGGTGGTGTGGCCTTGGGCCAGGTTGCCCTGGTGGCTCCGCTACTGGTAATACTGGGTGACTCCCTTTCTTTCCCAACTCGTGTGCTTCCTGCCACTTCCTTTTTGTTTGTTTATTTTGAGATGGAGTCTTGCTCTGTTGCCAGGCTGGAGTGCAGTGGCGCGATCTCAGCCATCACTGCAACCTCCACCCCCCAGGTTCAAGTGATTCCCCTGCCTCAGCCTCCTGAGTAGCTGGGACTACAGGCGTGCGCCACCACGCCCAGCTAATTTTTTGTGTTTTAGTAGAGACGGGGTTTCACCATGTTGGCCAGGATGGTCTTGATCTCCTGACCTTGTGATCCACCTGCCTCGGCCTCCCAAAGTGCTGAAATTACAGGCATGAGCCACTGTGCCTGCCGGCCCGTTTTTTTTTTTTTTAAACTAAACCCCTAATTCTCTGGGACCAGCTTTGTCACTCCGGTACACTCTTGTGCTCACCCGTGAACCTAGGCAGCAGCCAGAGCACTTTTTTTTTTTTTTTTTTGAGACAGGGTCCCGCCATATCTCCCAGGCTGGGCTGCAGTGGTGCGGTCATTGCTCACGGTAACCTCGGACTCCAGGACCCCAGCGATCCACCTCAGCCTCTCCAGTAGCTAGGATCACAGAAGCATGCCACCACATCTGGCTGATGTTATTTATTTATTTATTTATTTGAGACGGAGATTCGCTCTGTCTCCCAGGCTGGAGTGCAGTGGCAGGATCTCGGCTCACTGCAAGCTCCGCCTCCCGGGTTCACGCCATTCTCCTGCCTCAGCCTCCCGTGTAGCTGGGACTATAGGCGCCCGCCACCGCGCCTGGCTAGTTTTTGTATGTTATTTATTTTTTAGAGATGGAGTCTCTAAATCTCCAGGGCTCAAGCAATCCTCCTGTGTTGGCCTCCCAAAGTTTTGGTATCACAGGCAGAAACCACTGTGCCTGACCCTAAAGTACTTTTAAACTACGTTAGATTTAATTTTTTTTTTTTTTTTTTGAGATGGAGTCTCACTCTGTTGCCCAGGCTGGAGTGCAGTGGTGCAGTCTTGGCTCACTGCAACCTCTGCCTCTCGGGTTCAAGCGATTCTCCTGCATCAGCCTCTCAAGTAGCTGGTAGTACAGGTGTGAGCCAGCACACCCAGCTAATTTTTATATTTTTAGTAGAGACGGAGTTTTTCCACATTGGCCAGGGTGGTCTCGAACTCCTGACCTCAAGTGATCCGCGTGCCTGGGCCTCTCAAAGTGGTGGGATTACAGGTATGAGCCACCACACCTGGCCTTTTTCTTTGAGACAGAGTCTCACTCTGTCACCCAGGCTGGAGTGCAGTGGTGTGGTCTCGGCTCACTGCAACCTCTGCTTCTGGGATTCAAGTGATTCTTCTGCCTCAGCCTCCCAAGTAGCAGGGACTACAGGCGCCTGCCACCACACCCTGCTAATTTTCCTATATTTATAGAGACAGGGTTTCACCATGTTGGCCATGCTGGTCTCGAACTCCTGACCTCAAGTGATCCACCCACCTCAGCTTTCCAAAATGCTGGGATTACAGGCATGAGCCACCCTGCCTGGCCAATTTAATTTTTTTTTTTTAGATGGAGTTTTGCTCTTGTTGCCCAGGCCAGAGTGCAGTGGCTTGATCTCGGCTTACTGCAGCCTCTGCCTCCCAGGTTCAAGTGATTCTCTTGCCTCAGCCTCGTGAGTAGCTGGGATTACAGGTGCTCGCCACCACGCCCAGCTAATTTTTGTATTTTTAGTAGAAACGGGGTTTCGCCATTTGGCTAGGCTGGTCTCAAACTCCTGACCTCAAGTGATCCGCCTACCTCAGCCTCCCAGAGTTCTGGGATTACAGCCTTGAGCCACCGTACCCGACTGGAACCATTTTTTTCTACTTTATTATTAGGCTAACAGTTAAAATGTCCCTTCAGTTGTAAGAGACAAGTGCGTGAAGAGCCAGTGTCAGATTCGTGTGTGTGTGCACGTGCGTGCAAGTTACTCCAGCAGGAGGGAATCCAAGAAGCCGCTGAGACATCCTCATGTCCCCTCTGCCTAGGTGAGGTCCCAGCTTGAAGAGAAAGAAAACAAGAAGTTCCCTGTATTTAAGGCCGTGTCGTTCAAGAGCCAGGTGGTCGCGGGGACAAACTACTTCATCAAGGTAGAGTGTGGCCTGGGAGGGTCTGCCCCGGACGGGTGCTGGTAGGAAGCCGCCTGCGCAGGCCTGGGCTCTGTGGTCTTAGGTGCTGGTGCACCCTGTGGCTGCCCCCTGAGATGAGCATCCTACTGTGTGTGTCCATCGGCCTTTTAGGAGGACTAGGGCTTCCGGGGAGCTAAGAACCCTAAGGGATGTGGGGTGCAAGGCGTCGGCTGCACCTGCAGGAGAAGACAGGCTTGTCTTCAGCCGGCTGCGAATGACCTGGAGGGATGCAGCAAGGTGACTCAGGATCAGAGGCTCCTCTCACTCCACTCTCTTCCCAGGTGCACGTTGGCGACGAGGACTTCGTACACCTGCGAGTGTTCAAATCTCTCCCTCACGTAAACAAGCCCTTGACCTTGTCTAACTACCAGACCAACAAAGCCAAGCACGACGAGCTGAGCTATTTCTGATCCTGACTTGGGACAGGACCCTTCAGCCAGAAGACTGATAATTAAAGTGATCCTCCGTGGACCAGAGCATGCACTTGTGATCCTAAAATAAGCTTCATTTTCGGGCTGTGCCCTCGGGGTGGAAGGGGTGGGATTCAGCAGCTGCTCTTGCATTTCTCTTCCTAAATTTCACTGTGTTGATTTCTTTCCTTCCCAATCAGTGATCTTAATTACTTTCAAAATATTTTCAAAATAGATATATTTTTAAAATCCTTACAGATTGCCTCCTTTGTTTTGGATTTTTTTCTTCGTCTGAACCACGCTGGGCAGGTCCTTCCCCTCGGGGGCATGGAGGCCAGGGAGATTGCCCGGCTCACACAGCAAGCGGGTGGTGGACCCAGGATTCACACCTTGCGGCTCCGGCCTGCGTTCCTAACCACCATCTTTGCATGTTGTTGCTTTGACTCTAGGTCCTGGCCCCAAGCCTCAGTTTCTCCCATAAAATAAAGAGTGTGAGTAAATCCAATTCCACAGTGTAACTGGCTCCAGATCTCAGATACATTCACACACTTAATGCTCCGGTACAGAGAGGCAGCAACACTGTCGTGCACGTGCGGAATAGCCTGCAGCCTCACTGAGCGCCCTGCGACGCGGGAGGCTTCCCGTGGAGCCATGTGGGATCCTAAAGGGAGGTATCTTAGGAGAGCGTGTCTATTTAAAAAACGCCGCCTAGTTTTCAACAGGGATTACTTCCCATTCATGGAATCGGCCCGGTGGCTTCCCACCTGTGATGCTGTGTTAAACAGGACAGAAGAGGGAGCATCATACATGATAAGAGCTGAGACTGGGGGTGAAAGTCTCTGTGCACCGGGGTCATAAAGTGAGTGTGTTCCTGAGGGTGTCCTGAGCTGCACTTTGCCTCCAAGGTGTCCGACAGCGTACGCCAGAACTGCAGCTGCGGGATTCAGGCTGTCCAGATCAGAGGGGGCAGTAAAGACTAAGGAGGGATCTACCTGTGAGTCCACAGAGCTTTGAAAGTGACGATAGAAAACTCGGAATCAGGCTGGGCGCGGTGGCTCACACCTGGAATCCCAATACTTTGGGGGGCCAAGGTGGGTGGATCACTTTGAGGTCAGGAGTTCTAGGCCAGCCTGACCAACATGGTGAAACCCTGTCTCTATTAAAAATAGAAAAATTAACTGGGTGTTGTGGCAGGCGCCTATAACCCCAGCTACTTGGGAGGCTGAGACAGGAGGAACACTTGGACCCAGGAGGTGGAGGTTGCAGTGAGCCAAAGTCACACCACTGCACTCCATCCTAGGTGACAAAGTGAGATCCTGTCTCCAAAAAAAAAAAGGAAAGGAAAAAAAGAAAACTCTGAATCATGGACTGTGTATTCTGTACTCTTATCATGAACTCTGAGAATAAGCTTTTATAATATGCAAAACAGAATCAAGCAGTTTTACATTGAAAGGAAAACCCGAGGTATTTCCCACTTGAGAACTTCCAGTGGAAGGCAGGTGGGGGAGGTGCCGTTTAGGGTGCCACGCAGCGGGAGAGCCATCCCCAACAGGAAGGGAGTGGGTGTCTGCAGGAGCAGTGACCAGGAACTCCTATGGGGCACCTGGGATGGGGGAAGCGGGATTTAGGGTTAGAAGCTTGTGTGTAAACAGGAAGTATCAGTGTAAAACAGAAAATAAAAGATGTAATTAATGCTGTGGTCTGGTTTAAATACAGGTTGACAAAGGGATCAAAATTATTTCTATGGCTGGGTGCGCGTGGCTCACGCCTGTAATCCCAGCACTTTGGGAGGCTGAGGTGGGCGGATCACTTGAGGTCAGGAGTTCCAGACCAGCCTAACCAACATGGTGAAATCCCATCCCTACTGAAAAATAAATAAATAAATGGCCGGGCACGGTGGCTTAAGCCTGGAATCCCAGCACTTTGGGAGGCCGAGACGGGCGGATCACGAGGTCAAGAGATCGAGACCATCCTGGCTAACACAGTGAAACCCCGTCTCTACTAAAAAATACGAAAAAACTAGCCGGGCGAGCTGGCGGGCGCCTGTAGTCCCAGCTACTCAGGATGCTGAGGCAGGAGAATGGCATGAACCCGGGAGGCAGAGCTTGCAGTGAGCCGAGATCCGGCCACTGCACTCCAGCCTGGGCGACAGAGCGAGACTCCGTCTTAAAATACATAGATAGATAGATAGATAGATAGATAGATAGATAGATAGACAGATCGATAGATCGATAGATAGAGCGAGACTCCATCATAGATAGATAGATAGATAGATAGATAGATAGATAGATAGATAGATAGATAGATTAGATAGATAAGGCCGGGCGCGGTGGCTCACACCTGTAATCCCAGCACTTTGGGAGGCTGAGGCAGGCGGATCACAAGGTCAGGAGATGGAGACTATGGTGAAACCCCGTCTCTACTAAAAATACAAAAAATTAGCTGGGCACAGTGGTGGGCGCCTGTAGTCCCAGCTACTCGAGAGGCTGAGGCAGGAGGATGGCGTGAACCCGGGAGGCAGAGTTTGCAGTGAGTTGAGATTGCACCACTGCACACCAGCCTGGGTGACAGAGCGAGACTCTGTCTCAAAATAAATAAACAAATAAATAAAATAAAAAATTTAGCCGGGCATGGTGGCAGGTGCCTGTAATCCCAGCTACTCAGGAGGCTGAGGCAAGAGAATAGCTTGAACCCAGGAGGTAGAGGAGGTTGCAGTGAACCGAGATTGTACCACTGCACTCCAGCCTGGGTGACAGAGTAAGACTGCGTCTCTCTCTATATACATATATACATTATTTATATGAAGTTGTCAATTTCATCCACATGCCGTGTGCTTCCTTAGGAGCATTGGCGGCAGCAGCTTGGAAATCTGATGAATTTCACTACCCGCTGACAAAAGTCCCTTGTTACCGAACCTACTGCTGGTTCAACCCTGCCCTCTGAGAGTGTGTTAGGAGCTCTGATATGGTTTAGCTGTGTCTCCACCCAAATTTCATCTTGAATTGTAGCTCCCATAATCCCATGTCATGGGAGGGACCCGGTGGGAGGTCACTGAATCACGGAGGTGGTGACCCTCATTGCTGTTCTCGTGATAGTGAGTGAATTCTCGTGAGATCTGATGGTTTTATAAGGGGCTTTCCCTCCTTTTGCTTGGCACTTCTCCTTCCTGCCACCATGTGAAGAAGGATGTGTTTGCTTCCCTTTCCGCCATGATTGTAAGTTTCCTGAGGCCTCCCCAGCCATGCTGAACGGTGAGTCGATTAAACCTCTTTCCTTTATAAATTATACAGTCTCGGATATATCTTTATTAGCAGCATGAGAATGGACTAATACGGGAGCTCAAAGTGGGTGAGGCACGTGGTAGGGGAAGAATGAAGTCAGCTTGGACTCCCGTGGGGCTCACAGCATGGGGGCGGTGACTGTCACTGTCATGGATGTGAAATTTTACCAAGTGCCCTAAGGAAGGCTCTTGTTGGAGGTAAATGGGGATCTGACAGAGATGCAGAAGGCTTCTGGGCAGAGACCACGCCCAAGTTCAGATCTGAAGCTCGAGGAGGAGGAGCCAGAGGCCGAGGCAGGTGAGACTGTCCTGGTGCTAGCAGCAGAGTGGGGACTCCAGGTTGGGCAAAAGCATGGTACATTCTGGGAGGCAGCTGAATGCCTCATAGCCACGATGTCAGAGCAGCTGCCCTGGAGGAGCCCTGAGTCCTGGGACAGAGCCCCGGTTGTGCCCAGCAGTCTGGAGGGCAGGACGGGCTACCCTGAATGAATTAAGACACTGGATCCCCAGGACCCTGACGGCTCAGGTCCTTCCCCATCCTGGCACATGAACCAGAAAACAGGTCTACGTGCTGGGACCTGCCATGAGCCACTTCCCCTCCAGACCCCTGAGAGCCAGAAAGACAACGTGAAGGTCTTACTCGTGGTTCGTTCAGGCATGTTTCCCCAAAACTGTTTGCCTCGGCAATGTTAAAAATGGCTTGAGCTTTGGGAGGCTGAGGTGGGAGGATCACTTGAACTCAGGAGTTTGAGACCAGCCTAGGCAACATAGTCTCTACATCTCTACATACAAAAAATAAAAAATTAGTCAGGTTTGGTGACACACACTTGTAGTCCCAGGCTAAGGTGGGAGGATCATACCATTTGAACTGGGAGGTTGAGGCTGCAGTGAGCCACTATCACACCACTGAACTCTGGCCTGGGTGACAGAGAGAGATCCTGTCTTGAAAATAATAATAATAATAAATAAATAAATGAAAATAGCACAGGGCAGCAGAAGCCTACAACCCCTCCCAGGGCAGCCCGTCTCCTGCAGTCTGCCCTGCAGACTGGGCGCCTGCTCCAGTCACGGGTAGGACAGGAAGGTGGAGGGGTGGGTGTGCAATGTCCAGAACGTGCAGGAGCCCAGGATGGCCTGGCCTGAGCTCCCTGTTTGTAATGCGGGCCCCGTCCTGAAAGGGAACACTGCTTCCACACACTGGACACCAAACGCTCCTTGGGTTGCCCCTGGGAGTGCTGCCTGTTTCCACTGGGGCCCTGGCCGATATAAATGCACGGAGCAGATGCTAGGCAAGGAACCACCCCACGCTGAAAGCCCAGACCCTCACTCTAAAGCTCCTGAGGCAGGCATGGTCCCTGGGCTGGGCAGGCAGCTGTGGGTCCCTAGTCTGCTGTCACTCACTCTTGAGTGACGGTATCATCTTGGTTGGGTCTCCTACCCTCCACCCAGAATTCTCAGCGAGCATCACTTTTCCCAGAGCTGGTAGGTGGTTGTTGTTTGTTTGTTTGAGATGGAGTTTCACTCTTATCACCTGGGCTGGAGTGCAGTGGTGCAATCTTGGCTCACTGAAAACTCTACCTTCCGGGTTCAAGTGATTCTCCTGCCTCAGCCTCCTGAGTAGCTGGGATTATAGGCACCTGCCACCCTGCCTGGCTAATTTTTGTATTTTAGTAGAGACGGGATTTCACCATGTTGACCAGGCTGGTCTTGAACTCTTGACCTCAGGTGATCCACCCGCCTCTGCCTCTCAAAGTGCTGGGATGCCAGGCGTGAGCCACTGCTCCAGGCCTGGTTTTTGTTTTTTTTTGAGACAAGGTCTCACTCTGTTGCCCAGGCTGGAGTGCAGTGGGGCCATGATGGCTTACTGCAGTCTCGACCTCCCTGAGCTCAGGTGATCCTCCTGCCTCAGCCTCCTGAGCAGCTGGAACTACAGGTGCATGCCACCTCGTTCTGCTAATTATTTGTGTTTTTTGTAGCGATGGGGTTTCGCCATGTTGTCTAGGCTGGTCTTGAACTCCTGAGCTCAAGTCATCCACCCACCTCAGCCCCAAAACGTGGTGGGATTATAGGCACGAGCTGCCGCACCCAGGGCCTGCAGGTTTTGCTGGCCTTGTGTTCCCAATCTGGCAGAACAGGGCAGCCAAGCTGTGTGTTAGCTGAGGTTCTGTCTGTGCAGAGAGGGTCCGGGGGGGGGGAGCCAGGCAAAGCCAACAGTATCCTTACCC